GTCTAATGGCTAAGGTACTCGGCTGCTGACCCGCAGGTCGCGGGATCGAATCCCGGCTGCGGCAGCTGTATTTCCGATGGAGGCAGAAATATTGTAGGCCCGTGTGCTCAGATTTAAGTGCACGTTAAAGAACCCCAGGTGGTCGAAATCTCCGGAGCCCTTCACTACGGCGTCTCTCATAATCATGTGGTGGTTTTGGGACGTTAAACCCCACATATCAAGAAGGCCGTGTATGATAACATAGCTCGTGAAAACAAGCTAATGAGGGCTGCAAACATTTCTTGATTTCATTGCATACGATGACCCCACTGTGTTTGCAGCTGCTGAATGGGCCAATGTATCTTAACATCGAAGATCTAGTTCCTGGGTACTAAAACTAAGATTGGTTGGTATAGATAAGCAATATCGGACAAGTACTTTTTGGGGCACATCGCATTGGCGTTTTCGACTTTCTGGTTGTGGCCACATGCACCTGTGGCGCCAATCAGGCAAGTTCAAAGCTGAGCTCTCTTCTTCAACCACATGCCTTATTACCGAGGATATATACTGGGCTGTGTTGGCCACAATATGTAGAAATCGTCCTTAAGACATTCTCATGATCGTCAAGATAAGGTCTAGAGCTTTTCCATTTCAATCGCTTTGTCACGCACCTCGGGTGAGGCCCCGCCGACCCAACACCGACGTGCGGCAGACTCGCAGGCTTCCGCTTTACGCTTCTGCCTGCGACGCCTGAAAGGCCTCGAAGTGGTACATTTCGAATTTATTTGCGGGTTGGTCGACCCGTGCGGGGTTGCACATGTGGTGATGTGTGAGCCTGACCGACGCACTCATAGAGCAGACACAGAGTTTGATTACACTTAAACAAGCATTTAATTAAAACAGGGGCAAAGGCAGGAGATTACAAAAAAAATAACAAAGAAGGAAAACTGATACGCGCGATAGAAACAACAGCTACATAACAGAATGGGCTTAAAACACTACAAAAGATACAGGCTAAAGACAAATATGCGGAACATTAATAAAATAACAAGATGGAAATCAAAAGAGGGTTACAAGGAAATAATTACAGAATGATCATTGGTCGCGCTTTTGAATTTCTACGTGCGTCGCAGCGCACACAACTACAAATAATAAAAAAAGGCTGGTTAAAATAATTTAACAGTTTAAGAAAAAAAGTCACAATAAAAAGTTCCATACGGACCAGGCCAGCTCTTGGTGCACGTAGGGGAGTTGACGGGTGCCGCTGAAGGTCTCGCCGGCTTGGTAGACGACGAGGGTGCCCGGAATTGCAGCCGTCTCAATACGTTGCACGGGTCACTCCGTGCTCGCCGCCTACGCGAGACTCGCGACACCGACGACCGCACTTGTTGCTGGCTGTACGTCAACTGCTCTTCCGATGCAGTTCAAACCTCTTCAGGGGCGTCCACGTGCTCCCATCTCATCTGGGAGTAATTTTCCTTGTTGAGACCGCCGGTTCCCCTTCCGGTCAGGGGCAGGGAAGACGAGCCGGCGCCACGCTGGGTCATTACAGTCGCCGGATGTCGCCTCCCAACACAAAAACGCCCTTCCTTGGAAGATGGGACCCACGGATGCTCCGAAAATTGGAGTCGCTTGTGACATAGCCCCCTTCTTAAGAATATTACTTGGTAATATTCAAGAAAAGCACAAACGCGCAATGTTCGCGAACTTTCGGTGTTTCGGTTGTCCACCAATGCGTTTTCTTTTTTGCGCGCACCATTTCGCTGACGTGGACGACACCGCAGAGAACACCCGACACACCACATTTTCACGGTCATCATACGATGAATGTCATAACCCGCGCACAACGACACGGACACACACATGAAATACGAAATAACACACACTGCTAGAATCGAGGGAGCTGTATTCGAAGCATTCCTTCTGGCGATCATTACACGGATCACAAGATAATCACTACACATAATTCTTCCAAATCCACAAGAAGAAAAACAATTACTGAGCAATTCGAAGTCAAAGTGATACAGAAAGGTTTCAGACAAAATTAAGAAGGTACGAAGCATCCATGTATGCAAAAAAAAATTTTAGAAATGTGGCCTCTATGCGCGAAGCGATCATCCGCGTTTCATTGAACCCAAGTACACGCAGGCCTCTTCATCGCTGACTCGGCTCATGTAATCTGCCCCTACATTTTCTGAACCCTTTATGTGCTTCACAATCGAATGACAACGATGAATATTATTTCAGACAACATCTCATCAGCCTTGAAGGTTACGTTTACCTTTCTATGTACATATACATAACTTTTATCCGCGCTCGAGGTGGTCGCGCTCTTGGGGGAGTCGTTCGAAACAAACGGGGCAGACAAAAGCGTGTACGGCCGCTACACGGACGCCTGTTTCCCGTTTGTCTACACCTCGGAGGCATGCCTTCGCCGTCACCGTGTTCTATGGAAACGGGTCTCCGAACCACGTCGTGTCGCTCGGCCGAAAGGCGCTGCCTCGCAAGGCACCCCGCGCTTCGAGCAGGACAATGGAGCGAAGGGGGTCGGCTCTTCCGAGCTCCACGAACAAATGCCTGCCTCACCCCTCTATCTGTCGGGCGGTTTGAAGCATAGGGACCCCCTCGACTGGCGAATGCCACAAAACGCAAACGAAGCTTTCGTTGCCTCGATTGCTGTTTGGCAATTAGCGATTTTCCGGGTTGCTTTGCACCCTTGGTTTTCCTTTTGCTTGTGCGGCGTCTTTTTCTTTTTGGACGTTGTCCAGTGCTCACTTTTGAGAAGTCCGCTTGCAACATTTGCAGAGCAGAACTGGTCTCGCCTGTCTCATCGGCTATAATGCCTATACAGTCGGGATTTTCCGTTAACTTGTGGACACCCTGACTTGCGGGAAGCTTGACTGACGGCTGAGCAATGCAAGCGTCTTCCTCGGGGCTGCGCCGCTTGCACCTGGAAGAACTACTTGCCCCAACATTGCCCAGCTCGCAGTGTGCGTCAGCACCCGACTGTGCCCCGCTCTCTGTACAGGGGTCCTCACCTACCGGGCCGGTGGTACTGCGAACTTCACAATTAGCTGCTATGGCGACGCACAAACAGGGTGGCTGTGCCAAGTCCATTACAGATGGCATTTCTGTATTAACAAGACTCTCCAGGCACAGCGCCTCGTCGCCATCACTGCGGCCTTCAGTGGCCTTTGTGGCCACAACGGGACTTTCAGCAGCTAACTTTTTAGGTTCACTCGTGAACCCTATGTTCTCCCCAACGGTACTATTACCTTGGCCGGCTCTCAGTGGTCTGGCACCTACGGGCTCTTTGCCCCTTTTGTGCCTTGCATCCCAGGTCTCAAACATGTGCCGTCTACCTTCCATTTTCTGGCGCAGTAGCTGAACATGATCCTGGTAAGACTGCTTGTTCAGGCCAAGGTCGGTCACGCTACTGGGCGTTCCAGCGGCTAAGCTCAGACCCGACTGCGTGGCACACAGTCCCAAGCGCTCTTTTTCTCTCTGAATTCTAAGCCTTGAATTTTCTCGCTCCTGTTCCATCAAAAATTCCAGATGTTGCCTGTACCTAATGCATTCGGCATCGCGCTCCTCTTTAAGTCTATTTCGTTCTTTTTCGACGAAATTATATAACTCCTTGCCTACAAAGCCAAAGGCTTTGCCCTGTTCAATTAGCTTATCAAACTCCGTGTTGTCCATTGCTATAAACAGTTGACAACCAACAAAGCAATAACAGAACGACTACATACTGAACGCTCAGAGTTACGTCAGTCTCCCAGACATCACCACGTGGTCGGCCAGTCCTGTCGCGGACGCCAGATAATGTCACGCACCTCGGGTGAGGCCCCGTCGATCCAACACCGACGTGCGGCAGACTCGCAGGCTTCCGCTTTACGCTTCTGCCTGCGACGCCTGAAAGGCCTCGAAGTGGTACATTTAGAATTTATTTGCGGGTTGGTCGACCCGTGCGGGGTTGCACGTGTGGTGATGTCTGAGCCTGACCGACGCACTCATAGAGCAGACACAGAGTTTGATTACACTTAAACAAGCATTTAATTAAAACAGGGGCAAAGGCAGGAGATTACAAAAAAAATAACAAAGGAGGAAAACTGATACGCGCGATAGAAACAACAGCTACATAACAGAATGGGCTTAAAACACTACAAAAGATACAGGCTAAAGACAAATATGCGGAACATTAATAAAATAACAAGATGGAAATCAAAAGAGGGTTACAAGGAAATAATTACAGAATGATCATTGGTCGCGCTTTTGAATTTCTACGTGCGTCGCAGCGCACACAACTACACATAATAAAAAAAGGCTGGTTAAAATAATTTAACAGTTTAAGAAAAAAAGTCACAATAAAAAGTTCCATACGGACCAGGCCAGCTCTTGGTGCACGTAGGGGAGTTGACGGGTGCCGCTGAAGGTCTCGCCGGCTTGGTAGACGACGAGGGTGCCCGGAATTGCAGCCGTCTCAATACGTTGCACGGGTCACTCCGTGCTCGCCGCCTACGCGAGACTCGCGACACCGACGACCGCACTTGTTGCTGGCTGTACGTCAACTGCTCTTCCGATGCAGTTCAAACCTCTTCAGGGGCGTCCACGTGCTCCCATCTCATCTGGGAGTAATTTTCCTTGTTGAGACCGCCGGTTCCCCTTCCGGTCAGGGGCAGGGAAGACGAGCCGGCGCCACGCTGGGTCATTACAGTCGCCGGATGTCGCCTCCCAACACAAAAACGCCCTTCCTTGGAAGATGGGACCCACGGATGCTCCGAAAATTGGAGTCGCTTGTGACACGCTTTCTTAGTGCAATATGATGACAAGAAAAGTCAAATCGGTACTAGGTATTCCTCAAGAGAGGCACGAGAAATGTTATCAACATTCCAAAAAATTGAATTTTTCAAAGTTCGGATCGCTGCCCTGCAGACTTCTGAAAAACCTGCCTTCTCAAAACGAGCACATTTTCTCTTGTCAACAGCTGCTCATAGTGGCTCTATGAATATTTATCATTTCAGATTCACCAACAGTTTGCCTGCTCATTTGAATTCAACGAGCAGTTCCTCATTATGCTGTTTGAGCACAGTTACTGCTCTTCATTTGGTGAGTTAACTAATAATAAAGATCATCTTTTGCCTTTTGCGTTGCTGATGTTAACGATTGTTCAACTTGCACGCAGGCACGTTTCTGGCTAATTCCATGAAGGAAAGAAAAGAGCTCAAGCTGTCGCAGAAGACGTACTCTCTGTGGTAGGCTTCTTCTTTTTTTTTTTTTTTTTTTGTCATGCACGTCTTATTCTGATCGCGAGTTCGATCTTTCTGGTGATGCTGAGTGCATCTCAATACGAGTGAATTGCCAAATTTCTTGTGTACTTAAACTTGAGTTCACATCGAAAAGCCTCAGCAGCCCTCCACCACGGCATCTTCCTCGGCTGCCACGTTTAATTGAAACACTAAGCACCATGAATTGAGCAGCTGGTTACAAATAACAGTTGCATAGTCCTTTGTAAGTACAATGTGCAGTCTGTAGTGACATGGCTTCTTTTGATGAGACACTTTCTCTTTTATTGTGTCCTGCACAGCCAAGTGCTGCCTGCAGAAACTTCACCATGTCCTTCTTGCTTTGCTTTGCTTATCGGTAGTCAAAAAAAGTTTCTTTACTGAGACATTTCATGAGGAAAGCACCGTAGTAGGGGCTGTACATTAAACCTTTGTGGTCTAAAACCTTTACTCTGCTTCCACCTGTTCCTGTCCAACCTTAAAAAAAAAAAAAAAAGCCATGCTCAACTAAAAGAAGTTTACTTACTCCTTTAGAGATGGCGTATGATGCACTGAGAATACAGATGCATGAATCAACCACAAGAGAGTTTGTGCAGCAGTGCTGCCTGTCAGCAGAATTCTGTGGCCTTGTGGCATTGCCAGTAGAGACCCAACAGCAGACCACAGAGGGTTAGCTCTGCGCAAGATTGCACGGGGTAGCTAAGTAACGGAGGCACTAAAGGGCCACTTTTTGCATATGGCTTTATAAGTCTTAACATGTCAAAGGAAAGCATATAGCACAAATAATGGCTGCAGGAGCATTACGTCTAAAGTATATTGCATTGTAGTTAGGACTGTAGGTCCCCTTTCTGGGGTAAAGATATAGGTTCGGGTTACAAAACGTCCTTTCATTTGATTTGCTTCTTTCAGGTCTTATGTAAACTCTCCAGACATGCTGGCTGAGCTTACCAATCCGATGTATGACCACAACAACCAGGTGATCTGGCCATCGGTGGCCCCTCAAAGCCTGGTGAGAGTTGTTCAGTGCCTTTTCTCTTCGAGCGTTCGCACTGTTTAGTATTTAGTTGTGGAATCGGGCCAGATCCTCACTATTAATGCGAAATTATTAAGTTGAAATGACATAACTCTTGCCACACCATAAGGACTGGCACTGTAAATGTAAAATTGCATGAATGATTCTGTATTTTATGTAGCTATACATCCCAGAAGTTAGGAAGGTAGATACTATTTCGTAGCTGCTGCCTCAGAAGTAAAGCAGGTGCAGTGTGATGTATGCATAGTGTGGTTTCACTAATCACACTACCTGCGTAGCTTCTGTACAATTGCCTTTTTAGTACGAAAGGTACGATGACACTCACCTACGCAGTAAGGTGGTCAACAATCCTCAATCACACAGCCTTCCTGCAAGGCTCCCAAGACTGTTCTCGACTTGGTGGAAAACTCGTGTTTATTTTTTTTCTAGATTTTATGGCCGGCCCTGTTCTTACGGTGGGTCTATGACCAGAAACCCCAGAAAGAAGCATGGGACATGGTTCTGGAAATCCGAAACAGAGATAAGGAACTGCGCTCTAAAGCAATAAGGCTACGCAGGTAGGTTGTTTTCCAGGATTTGGAACTATCATTTGTGGAGCTGAGAAGTGGTGAAGGTTACATGTAGGTCTTCAGTAGACTATTTTCGTATCGAACGCTCCTACGAGCCACATGAAGAACATTTGCTTTTTTTTGCTGCATAGTTGTATTTTCTTTCGTGTGCACTTGTAGTCCTTTACTTTCAACGTGTTTACCTGTCATGTTCTTAGTGACGCACCTTTTTTCATTTAGTGATTCTGATACTTTATTTTTATTATGTTGTGATTCTTGTAGCCAATTTTAAAAACCAGGGTCTTCCATATTAGATGTTGTTACTATCAACAGTTCATGCAATACTAATTGCACAAGGTATTACTGTTATGACTGGCTTACACATTTCATGCTGTATTACATTATCTTGAATTGGTGGCATCTGTATTATGTATTGCTTGTTCAAATCTATCTTTGCTGATGTCTAGGACTGCCATATTATTCACAACCCTCCTCTTACCTTGCACGCGGAAGTGACTCGTCAGTATGTGTGAGAAGCAGCAGACAGTCAAGTCAAGGAAAGTGTAGGGAACGTTATTTGCAGTATTTATAATATGAATGCCCCTGCCAGTAGCAAGTTGTCTGTTTGTTCACCTAAATTTTCTCACATTACGCCATAATTATTATTACAATTAACATTTTTTATATGTTCCTTGGCTTCATTTTCTGTTGGTTCTCATAAAGTTGTGCCTAACAAAACAAAAATGAGCTTTTAACTTTCGCTCCTTTTGTTCTCAGTGTAGACATATTTGTTGGGATCTTCATTCTGTAGGTTAGATTCATGGACAATGTACCGAGCCCCATCATTAATTGGAAAATGCAGGTTTAGTTGTGTTTTTGTTGTTTCATCATTATTTGGAAATGCAGGTTTAGTTGAGCACTGCGGGCACAGTCAGACAAAAGCATAAATGTTTTGTATGGCAAGCAGTGGCTGTGAGGATATGCTTAGCTTATAGTATATGCATCCCACACCCTTAAAAAAGGCCTTGAAACGCCCTTCATTTGTTCTTGTTATCGAGGATGATGTGGTGTGCAGGCATGGAAGTGGTGTCTTTCTGGACATATTGGTAACCTGGCGAATGTTTCAAAGGAACTGCGCAGCAGTGATTGTTTCAGTGCATTGCCACCATTGTTTTTGGATATAGACAAGTGTTATAAGGTGCAACACACGGCGAGTATCATGTTGACTAGAAGATAACGTACGTTGACTGGAAGATAACGTAAATGTCAATGCAGCTTTCAAACGTGTACTCTACCGTTTATATGCTTATGCATTTGCTGCAAAACAACTCTCATGTGAGGCCAGAATATTTTTGTTTTTCGTTGCAGAGTTGCTTATTTTCTTTTCTACCGAATAGTGAAGTGCTCATTGTTCCATCAACACATGTTCCCTTCTTTTCCATTATGCAGGCAACTTCTGGAGCTGGAGGACGAGGCTGTCGTCCAGGGTGTGCTGCAGGACTCTCTCAGCCTGCTCGAATGACATCCGAGGAGGGGCTCGGTACCCTCTTCGCAGCGGGGCAGCACTAGCACCGTGGAGGACGTGGGACCCAGCCACCAGCAGATATCGGCACTGGCTCAGGAGACCGCCAGCATCGGCAGTCGGTCTTCTTTCTCTCGCATGTCGTCCACGGGTTCGCCTCAGTCTTCGTTGTCATCCTCACCGGCTAACGCTTCGTCCGGCACTCCCTCGCATGTGCGTAGACTCCTCCGCAGCCTGCTGCATCTGAGTTTAGACAGCCATGCGGGAAGCCGCCTGGCCCCGGACTTTGGAGCTGCGTCATTTGACGAGCTCACCTTCAAGCGTGGTGACGACGATTGACGTATTTTTTGTTGCACGTGACTTTCCGATTTCAGTATTTTGTGAAATGCCTATGTGGATGTTGGCTGATGCCTGCAGTTATCCTCGTTACCTATGCTGTTGCCTCGCTTGCATTGTGGTGCATCTACCCGATCATACCGATCGTTCATACTTGTCCCAAATAATTTTTGAAACTAGTGGCAGATATAAATTGCTGGTGGTTTGAGATTATCAAGCTGAATATTTAAGCCGAGGTGTTTAGATTGCATTGAGAATGTAACCTCGAACCTGTCTCTGTGGGACATTTTGTAGGAGTTCTTAATCCATCATAGATGTAGTATTCTCGGCATTTATTTTTTGTCGTTTTATAAGGTTTGCATATTACTCTTTTCAGTCCTTTCGAAAATCAAAAGGATAACTCCGCGTTGCTGAATTTTTTCTTTACTATAAGTGCATTGTGATAAATACGGCTATACAACTTTTTGAATTGCACTTGTGTCATTGCGACAGTGTTCTGTTCTTCGATCCGAATGCCTGGCTACATGATGTAGGTCACAGTACAGTACGCATACTGCTTGTAAGAAAAGTGTTGTCTAAGGCCTTACCTTAGAAGGTTTGTCTGAAGGTATACCAAGACTTTAGAATTTTACAACAGTAAAGAAATGTGCCGTAGTCACACTAACCAAGTCAATATTTGAAGTACTCTAGTTTAAAATTCCTAGGCAAGCACCCCCACCTGAGTAAGCACCCCTTTCCCCATTTATGGAGATTTGAAACATAAGCCTGTGACGTAACGGGTACCCCCCTCTCCTCTGCCATATATGTATGCTTTTTCAACCTCTTCTTCACTGCAGATTGCTCCAGTAGTAGTTCCTAGGAATCTAAAACGTGAGAGCCTTTATATACAGTCTAACATAGATATACATATTGAACTCGAAGGGGATCGAGAATTAGTTTGATATATCAAAAATTACATATAAAAAAAATACAGACCCCGAGAGCTTACCTGTAGCAGACCATCACCTACAATAGGCACATCAAGAATGACAACTGATTCCGCAGACTTGTCGCAACATAATGTTTTATTTGCATAAAAAAATCTCTTATCTTGGCCTGCTTTTTCGTTTTCTAAATGAAGTTGACTCTAGTCTCGCCGATCTTATAAAGTCTGTCCAGTTGCGACAGCCCGGTTTCCTCCATGTCGCCGATACATTGTCGAAAGGACGCCGAACGTTTCCACCACTTTAGTGGTTGAGTATGCGCGTGTAGTCAGCACCTCAAGCAGACGATCCTCCTTGTCACTTGAGCTGTCGGCCTGGGCATCCCGGGTCCCTGTGACCTAGGCTACTACGTATGTCCTCGTCAGCAAGGCTCGGAAGGGCCTGAACATTGCAACCGCTTCCATGAAATCGTCCACAGACACTTCGTGTGGAACAGCTGTCGAGAGGAGGGATGACAACTCACAAAACACGTCGTTTAAACGCTCGTCATTACCATCTTCACTAATTTCCACAAGTTTCACTATCACATGACAGGCTCTCGACGTATGCTGCTTCGACACCTTTGCCTTGTTATCTGCCTTGTTCTTCAACAATGTACTCGGAGTGCTCCGTGGTATTCTAAAGTCGTCCGCGACGGTCGAACATTTATCGCCCGCCTCAACACATTTATTAGCCTTGAACTTCGTTGCAAAGTCAAGGGTCTTGCGCTTCTTGACGCTGGCCATAGCTACACGAGAAGTTGACAATTCAAGGAGTCGTCAGCGGCTTCACACACCACGCGCGCAAAAGAAGAATGCTGCACTGCCTGCACATGCGATGGTACGTAGACGACGAGACAACGGAAGGGGACTCCGCCAACAAAGCGCTTGCGAGGCGATGGCTACTGGCGACTCGAGGGCAAACAGCAAAAGGCGCTAGCTGTGGTTGGCTGATCAAAACTCGCAAACCAGCAACAAAAAATAAAATAAAAGGCTCCTGCTCTTTGAGCTGATGAGTATGCTGAGAAAGCATGAGAGAGAGAGGGAAATGAAAAAATAGAAAAAAAAGGCGTTCTGCAAGTTGGAGACTGTGCAGTCCGAGCCGTCTCACCTTTACCTTGTTTCAAGTGTTTCGGGTTTAGACGAAGGTGAGGGGTTGCGCGGAGGTTTCCGGGCGCTGCGAGTGAAGCCCACTTTGCAGCTCACACGGTGTTCGATGTATCCAAAGGCGGGTAAAAATACCGTTCGATATAACGTTCGAATTTCTATACTTAGGAATTTCAAGGGGATAACTTGCGAGTTCGATATGCATGTAAATACGACGTATGTGGGTTCGATATATCTGTGTTTGACTATATGTGTACGATCTTGTCATACATCTGCTGTATGGCGCCTTGGAATTGCATTCTTAGTTGTTGAAAATTCTCGAAACATTGGAAGGTCATGCCCCTCTTGTCACATTGCATGAAATTTTGCCCGAGGATGCCCTCCAGTTCAATGAAAACCACCTGAATGCGAAATCAATAAAGCATTTCATTAGAACCACAGGTGTGCATTCTTAGAGGCTGTTCAGCTGCCGTATTGAATTCTGGTCCGGTACAAAACGAAGGCCTCCCTTCAAAATTGTGTCCAATTATCTTTACTGTATGGGGTGTGCTTGCTCAAGACTTTGCGGTTGTGATATCCCATGTACATTTTGCGATATTTGCTACTGTGCTTGCCGTTTTCTGGTTAAAATGTCGTCGAGAGGTGAATGCTATTGAAGTGTGCACCCTTTCACTGAACTACTTTAGTATAGTTCTTCACAGTGTGCCTGTATGGTATAAAGTATTGAGGCTGTGTTGGCATTCTATCTGGAACATTGCTTTTCGAAAGCCTTATGCACCGATGAATGTGTGATCATCATAGAAAATCACATTTAAAGAGATTGTGAAAAGGTCACTCCTAAAAATTGACAATGCGGAATAGCCAGCAGCCCTACGTACTAACTACATGACGTCAACCTAAGTAGAGTAGATCTACTTAGCTTATTGCTTATTCAGGAACGGGAAACTTCACGGTGCTTGTGAGTGTACGAAGGACGCTCATCGGTGTCTTTGCCATGCGCGATCCGAGTCTACTTTAGTTATGCTGACGTCACTTAGTTTGTGCTTATGTGTACTAGTGGTTCCATTTTAGGAGCGACATTTTAATGGCCCCTTTAATTTTAAACCTTATCAGAATTTTCTAACGTATTCAGAGCAGTGATGTGTCGTGAGCTGCACACATACTCTTTTTGTCTATCTACAATTGGGAATGTATAGTAACAGGCCTAATTAGGGAATGCCAAAGGTAGCTTTATAGATGTGCACTCTTGTGTACTTTGACATGATAACTGAGAATAATTTTCACAAAGTTTGTTGCCTCCTGTGTTAGAGACGCTGAAGGGAGAAATTGTTTCTCCTCTGTTACTAAATTATGATTCCGCAACATCAAGAATGCCATTCTTGTCACATGAAAGATCTTAGCACAGAACAAAAATAGCGACACTTTGTCTTGGCGCAAAACAAAAATAGCAACACTTGGAAGCTCCTGTGTTTTTGTACCCTCACGGGATCAATTTTGCATGCATATCAGAGGGTTTATATAATTATTGGTGATAGATTATATTGCATTCTCAGGGAATCATACACCTAACTTCACAATTTCCTCTAGGTTTAATCAAGTTAAAGCTTACAAAAATACTGTCAAATATGTTTACTAACACTGACATGTGAACATGGGAATTTCGGTTGACCATGAAATGTTGACCTTTCATTTTTCTTCTAATATTGAGACTATGTGTGCTAAATTAGTAATAATAGAAGTTTAAAAGAATAATTCATTATTGTTACTTTGTGCAATAGTGTCCATTCAAGCTAATTTATACACAAAATCTGTGTCATTGATGTAATGCTAATCTAAATCCATTTGTTTGTCGTGTGATTGTCTCATGATGCATTTCTTTTGGTCGTATGCATATCACGCGAGAGCAGGGCTTAACAACACTTTGTGCCAGCTGTTGTTGGTAGTAGTTGTAACGGAGACTGTAATCTGGGATGGCACTGTTGAGATTATCCCCGACTCTGTGCATATGTATGCTCGCATTGTTGGCATACCTTGAGTCGGTTGTGATACCTCCCTTATGTCTATCAGCTAAGCTTTCTTTTAATCCTTTAATTTACGCATTTTTGTGTAAGTGTAGAGCCCCACACTTTTTCAACACGATGCTGCTTCAAGCACACTTGTTCTAATAAGCTCAGTAATGGAGTCACAGTTCCATTTATTTGCGACCTTTTTTGAGTCACCGCAAAACCTGGTCGTACTTAGTACTTTTGCATTGCTTGTGTACAATAGCGTGTTTCTGTTTGAGTGTTTGTTTTCCTTCAAGCTGTCCTCTTATTTCCCTATACCCATTTACGGGTTTTTGAATGCTGTGTGTGATCGCGATGGGCGGATTTGTGTGCACCTTGCAACTTTATCCTTGGCTTCTTTTTGTAAGTCATGAATAGTGCATGGTTTCGCTGCCACGTGCACTTCAAGCTCTGCGCCGATTTGCTTGCTCCAGCCCTGTTTTTTTGCATATTGTGCTGATGCAGTGCAGTATGTATTTGAAACTTGGTAATAGCGAAGTGCGAAATTATCTTGCAAGTGTTATTTCAATAAAACTTACTCATATAACAAATATTAGATATATAATGAAGGCATTTTTCGATGTTGCTCACAGATTTGTTGTACGAAGAGATTTGGTATTAAGTCTTGATGTTTATTGTATTTTTTTTTTATGATTGAAAGGCTTTCCTGCTCTCCTACTTGATTTCAGTTGCTCACATTCATTGTGCATGTGCAGTGTGCATAAGCAAAATAAATATATACTGGACTTTCAAAAAGGAGAAAAAGTGTCAGCCACCTGGGGAACGCTGCAAAAGGAGTCGCCGGCACGCCCATTGTCCATAGGATGTGAAAATATGGTGGGCAATGTCAATTGTGCTATTGCCAATGCGTGAAGAATACAATCATTGTTGCCCACATGTTTTATCCCTCTCTAAGATAGGTTGCAAGGAAGTGAGATAGTCTGTTTCTGCAGTTTTTTTTAATGAAATTGTTTTGAACCCTTCAAGACATTTTTACATACTAATTGTGCTTGATATTAAGTAATGAAGTGTGCATATATGTCTGAATTTGTATAAAGGGGCAATGCCTTGCACATACTATCATAGCAATGTATCAACGTTAAGATGGGTAACTGGGCTTGGTATGATCTGCTATGATGGGCTCGAAGTTGGTGGATGACGGTGTGTGCTTGTCTGCCTTTGTCGTTTGTTGTCTCTGTGCATTTAACCTCGGAGATCATATTAACGTGTTGTTAGCTGGCATGATTCTTTACTGTTCATGGCAGAATGATTAAAAAAAAAATGTGGAGGAACACAACAAGTTCCCAGTTCATTCTTATGTATTTTTTCCTGTATTTTTGCGCTACCATGTGTCACTCAGTGTAGTCATTAAAGGCCTACACCCAGCTAAGATGTTTAATCGTTAACTGTGTTAATGTGTTAATCGCTAGTCCTAAAAAAAATAGCAGCTTGATGTGGCCTTATAAGCCATAAATTGCCTCTCTGTGTTCGATTTTGGTCGCTGTGTGCGCAAGTGTGTTGAGCCATTTCAGGGACCCTGTAATTAAGATGTTGTGGTGTGCGTTAAATATTTTGTAAAGATGTTGAAAGCTGTTTACGTTTCCCATTTTTCTGTTGTAAAGGCAGGCTTTGTATTCCAATAACTTGCAAGCACACTAAGGGTGGTCTCGTTGCAGAGGTCAGTATGTGTTTATGTCAAATCTTTCAGGCTTTGTGGTAAACGTTTGACTCAAGGAACGAACCGGTAACAGAGAAGGGTTTGTCTGAATACCTGTGCCTGAGTGGTAATCGTGAACTGTGTGTTTTGTTTGCATTGTGCCAGTTTGGCATATGAGATTTTTCACTGCTTTCAGGAAAAACTAGTCACTGGTACGTACTTGTATTCACTGCTACATTCATGTCGTCACTTTTGTGAATTAACTTAATATCCTTCTCTTCTAATAGGTGCGTGGTTGCACAGGCTGACGCACTCAAGCACTGCTGAAGATTTTGTGTCAAATGTTGTTTAGTGTTAATAGATATTTGTTACTTGCAAATGTTGGTATCGCCATATTAAACAGCTTATTGAACAGATGCATGTTACCTCTGGTATCTTTTCTTCTTTTATGTTGCCTTATCTTGTAAATATTGTGAGCGCAACAAGTGAACAACTTCATTCTCTTTACTTATCATCATCACTTGTCGCGCTCACAATATGGAGGACACATTCATTGGCCTTGTCCCCAAATGGTGATTTTTCAAGTGCATAGAATTTTTTCGTTGCTTGGTGCAGTAACTGACAACAACATGCAACTAATGAATATTCATAGGTCAACATTCACGCTCTTTTCATGTACTCACATTTTGTATCTCAAGTCTATGCGGGATTCAAATTCAGCCAATACCTTGCCTATGAAATTCTGCTAGGCATGGGTTGACTGTATTGACCTTACCTGCAGAAGCATTTTGTCCTTGGCAGCACCCAAAGGCAAGAATCCTTTCATGCCTTGTTGAGTGTGTGTACAGGGGGATACCAGATGACCACAGTTAATGCGAATTCACCCATTACTGCATCTGCTGAAGCCACTGTGCTGCTGCAGCTGAATTAAGAGACGCTAAAGAAAAAAATTTCTTGTATTGATAAATTACTCTTTGGTGATGCCAAAAAGCACCACGCTTTCTGCGTGAAAAGGCGGTTGAGGAAAATGCAGGTGGCGATGCCAGCTTCCACTTCCTGCTCCAGTTGCTGTAGCGGCAAGGCTTTTGACGGCGTCTGTTTGTGCCTACGCATTTCCTTATCAGTATAAAGAAGCTCGTTGTCTTCTGAGGGAGGCAGACTCTTTAACATCAGTTTTGTGAAATTTCGTTCAGTTAATGTGGCCTAAGTACAAAAAAAAAAAAGATGTGGTCATCAGAGGTTGCAGGATAAACTGGTACTTCCGACTAAATTTATCACTTATCAATAACTATATCGTGGGAAAATTAACAACATGAGTTTCCAGAGCATAATTTGTCGTTTTAAACTAAATTATTGTTTCATTTTAGTGTATCTTGAAACAATGTGATCTGCTACTTTTTATTAAACTGCAATTTCACTTTGAACAGTTCATCTTGGGTTCCGTTTTTTTTTTTTTTACCCACTTTATTTGGGTCAATGCCGCGGGCGCCTTAGACACACGCCTTAGACACACGTCTAAGGCGTGTGCGATTGATCAGAGATTTCAATTGGCCTTTCTCGTCTCGGCGATGCGTGTTTTTATGAATGGAGGTCACGTGCAAGCGCCTTGTAAACTCGACCTGTCTGGCCGCGGCTGCTGCCTCTCTGTGGCTGTAACACTCGCTCCGGGTCTCCCTGGCTTACACACGCTGGCCTTGTGTCGACCGCAAATAGGAAGCCAGGTGGCTGTGCGGCTGTAAGGGAAAAAAGCTGGCAAAATCGGCCGTGTTTGTGTGCGCGCGCGTTTTCCGTGGGCAAGTGCGAGACGAGCACCCGGCTGCCTGTCTGTCTGTGCGCTCCCCACCTGCCGCGGAGAGGGTGTGCGTGCCCGCTGATACCGAGGAGCTTGAACTCCTGGAGTGGCAGTACTTTGATAGTGAGCTGGTTCAGATCAGTGCGCCACCACCACCGGGGTCTCGACTTCAGCAAGGACCAGCATATTTTACGGGGCGCGGTTTGTTTCATTGGGCGTAACCCATAATGGTTTTTGGAAGAAGTTCGTGGAGAAGTGTACTTCGGGCGTAGGCATCGGCGGAAGGGGCAAAAGGGGCACGCGACCCCCACGACTCCTATCTACTGATCTACAGCTACTCGCACGTATTCCAAAGCAGGGGTCTAAGCAGGCGCGTAGCCAAATTTTTTTGGGGGGGAGGGGGGGGGGGCAACACCTTAATTTCGGAAGGGGCTCCCCTTTATAATGGCCATTTTTCGCTCAATATGCAATGGCAAAAAAAAAAAAAATCGGGTGTAGGGGGGGTGGGACGTGCCCGGTGTGACATTCCGTGGCTACGTCCCTGGTTCTAAGAAAGGGCTTTCGTTTCAGCGTAAAATATATTTCATGAGTGAGTCCGGAGTGAGTTCCACAAATTAAGTTGTGCCGACCTGTGCCCCCACCCAAACCAAACCAGCGCTCCTCCCTCGCCCTGTTTCACACTGTGATGCAACACTTTGGTTCTCATTTACGTAAAAGCGACCTATGATCAAGTTTCCACCATACAAAGCAGTGGCTTTCGCCCCGCCGCGGTTGTCTAGTGGCTAAGGTACTCGGTTGCTGACCCGCAGGTCGCGGGATTGAATCCCGGCAGCGGCGGCTGCATTTCCGATGGAAGCGGAAATGTTGTAGGCCTGTGTGCTCAGATTTGGGTGCACGTTAAAGAACCCAAGGTGGTCGAAATTTCCGGAGCCCTTACTACGGCGTCTCTCATAACATATGGTTGTTTTGGGACGTTAAACCCCACATATCAATCATCAATCAAATCAAAGCAGTGGCTTTGGATTCGCCAGTCGGCTGACTTACATCATCTGCGTTTTTTTTAATTGTGCTGGTAAGGGTCGCCCAACTGTCTACGTGTTCCGCCACACCTTGGTTGGCAAAAACTGCGCCTCTATAATTCCCGAATTCCCGATACTTTTTGAGATAAGTGGTTTCGCGTATTATGAGGGGCGGCGCCAGGATTTTTTTTTCTGGGGGGTGCAGCGAAGACAATTTTGTTCCTTCAGAAGAGCAGGGGGCACAGAACTTATGCATTGTGTTTTTACTAAGCTTGCTCTTGGGGAGGGAGGCAGGCGAGAATTTTTTCTAGGGGGGGGGGGGGGGGGAGCTTTAGCCCACCCGTGTGCCCCGCTGGCGCCACCCCTGTGTATTATGTTGCAGATGACGGAGATCTGGACTAAGTGGCACATGTAGTTGTCTCTTTGTTCAAAGAAAGAGTTGCCAGTCACACGGACTGCTTATGTTTGTTTATATAAGTGAAAGTGCTGGTGACAACAGACAATGGGGGAGGATGGAGAGCCCATTCTTAAATGTCGCTTCTCTGCCCCTATTTCTCCAACATTTTCATGGCTGCAATAGCA